TCGGCAATTTCCCGTACTCCCAGCCAGACGAAGAACCGGAGCGCGAGGGGCAGCCGGGCAAGGAGGGGGCGATGCAAATGTTCCCCGATCCTGCTTGCTCTCGCCCCGAGGTCGGCAGCGGGCTGGTGAGCTGGGCCTTCGGGGTTCGAGTCCTAAGCCCTAGAGCCGCCGCAGGATCCCGGGAGGGCGCGCAACGCTGGCCCTGACCTCGAGCTCGTCTAATCGTCGGGGAAAAAGTGTCACTGACGAAGTGAGTGAGAGCTGGTCGTCCGCCAAACCGCTCTCTGCTCCTGGGTTCCTGGGTATCTGTCACCAGAAACGGTGGGGTACTAGACCCGGATCACAGATCGGGAGCCGGGGTCACCCAGTAATTGGGCAGCCCGGAATCTGGGCTTAAATCCAGCGTGCTGGCCGCTCCTCGGCCAGTGGTCACTTCCTCCGGCGGTTTCCCTTACTTGTGGGCTTTAGAAAATAAATGGGCTCCCCCAGAGCTTGCACTCGCACATCTGCTCATTGCCACGCGCGGTGCGCGTGCGAGCAGCCCGCCCCATCCCGCAGAGGCGGCCCCTGCCCGCGCGCTCTGGCTCTCCGGGGCGCTCCAGGCTTCGTGCAGGCGCTTAGGCGTTAAGGGAGGTGCTGTCCCCCACCCCCGGGCTCCCTCACACAGACCCACACCCGCAGCCCGCGCCGCCTCCGGGCAGGGTCAGCACGCCGACCAGTAGGGTTCGAAACCAAACCCGTACGCTTCTGACTGCAACGGCCGGTGCCTTAGAAGGCTCTTTCGGGCCTGCAGCCCTAGACTTAAACCCTGGCCACAGAGGGACGCAGAGGAGTTAGCGGGGCGCGAAGACCCGGAGTGCCCCAGGGGGTCCTGTGGGGTGCGGGGAAGAGCTCGAGGAGCGCTCCTCGGTGGTCCCAACTGCTCCAGGTGAGGCGCCCAGAGCAGGGCCAGCCGGACCCCGTGCGTATGCCAAGAAAATCTCCAAGAAGCTGGGGGTGAGAGGACCGGACGACCCGGACCTGGGAGGTCCCCAGCCAGGGGCGCAATGGAGGCCAAGAGCTGCCCTCGGCCCCTGGCGGCCTCTGCGTTTCGCCAGCACCCAGCAGCCCTGCCTGGGGTCCCGGGGCTCCCTGCACAGGGCCAATGTCACCGAGATTCAGAAGCACACTGTCTACAGACTCATACACGCGCGCACTCTGGCACGATGAGGTAGGTACACGACACGCGCTCAGACACAGACCACAGGCGCGTTCACACACGCACGCGAGCACTTGACAGTCACACTGGCGCTCACCCGCTTACAGAGGGGCTGGCACTTGGCAGACGGTCTCTAGAGAAGGCGGAGCCTGGGCCTCTGGGAGGGGACGGCCCAGGACTCAACGATCGCACTCCCCCCCAACGCCCCCTTCCCTCCTCCAGCCCCCGGCCAGGCGAGCGGGTCTCGGAGCCGAGTAGTGCAGCAGAAGGCGTCAGGGGTGGAGCTGGGGTCCCCTGCAGGCTGCCCGACCCCACAGGGAGGGGGTTCCCCAAGATTAGAAATAAGCCACCGGAAGTCACAGCTGGCCTTGGATTGGCGGACAGGCTGGGAGGAATTCTGACACCGCATCCCCGGGGCGGAGAGAGATGGTATCCCTAACAGTCCCCAAACAGTTAAGTATAATGGCCCTGGGTCTAGCCACCTAAGAGATTTTACAAAGGGCAAATTTCTAACCCCATTCTGTAAGTGGGAGCCCCCCTCCCTGGCAGCCCAGGTCCTGCAGCTGGGAGAGTTCCCTTTTACCCCAGCGTTGGTCTCTTTTTTTTTGAAGAGGTTTTTCCTATAGGGCCCATGTACTCGCCAGAAAGAGGGAGACAGAGAGTGAGAAATCATCCCCCAGGGGGGATGGCCACACCGCAATCCCTTCTCCTCCATTATCCTCTCAGGATCTTGGCACACACGCATACATGCCCGGTGTGGGTTTAAACCATCGGGTCCGGGACTTGAACCATGGTCAACTACACAGGAGTCCAGCGACATTGCCATTATGCCAAAGATGCCCTGGAACTGCACTGACAAATTTTGAAAATCTTGCCATAATAAGTTGTTTGGAAGAGATGTGAATGAATTAATGTAGATATATAGAAAGTCTCTAGGCCAGTGCCTGCCAGGCTTAGTATGTGCTGGGTCTCACACATGTTAAACATGCTTCTCAAGATCTCATGTGACTTGCCTAACTAGTTAGTGGTGTATGGTGAGGGGGGGTCTTCAGAAAGTTCATCAAAATGCATATATGAAAAAAATATGCATAGGTTTGCTCCCAAATAAACTTTCACTTTAACCCCATTTGTCCATAAGCTTTTTTTTTTTTTTTTGGAGAGATTTTCACTATAGGGCGCATGCACTCATCAGACAGACAGAGAGAGACATAGAGACAGAAAGCGAGAAATCACCCCCCAGGGGGGATGGTCACGCCACAATCCCTTCTCCTCCATTCTCCTCTCGAGATCTGGGCATGCACGCACATGCGCCCTGAGTGATTTTTAAGCCAACGGGTTCCGGGATGTGAACCGCGGTCGACTACGTGGGAGTCCAGCAACATAGCCATTATGCTAACTGCTGGTTCCCCTTAGGTTCTTTCTGAAGCCAGATGAGGGTATAAATAAATTCATTT